AAAAAAAAAAAAAAAAAAAAATTTCCCAGGGGGGAAAAAAAAAAAAAAAAAAACTGTCTCAAAACAAACACAAGCTACTCAGCCTTGTGTTACCTTCTGCCCAGGGATCAAGTGGCTCATATCCCAGCCCAGGACACTTGTGACATGTGTCTAGCTCTCTGTAATAGTAATTAGGAGTCTCCCTAACTTTCTGTGGGGATTCTCTCATTTTCCCTCACTCTCTCCTTCTAGCTCTAGCTCTGTTCATAATAAACAGTCTTGGGGCAGATGGTTCTGTGTGATTTCAGCTGATCCACAGAGCCAGCTCACAGCTCCTTCTGGCTCAGTGACATAGAATAGTTGCTCCCCCCCCACACCCCATCCATAACATGAGCTTTCATGATTGCAAGATGGCTGGAGTAAGTAGCTCATTTGTGGTGAAGACCAGGTCAGAGGAAGGTGATCTGGATACGAAGCTTGCCATGCTCTTCAGCAATGCCTGTGTGGGTTACCCTGCCAGCCGCACCCTGACTTTCCCACAGGTCTTTTACAGGGGACGGCGTAAATGCATAGCCGTCAAGGATCTGAGTGTGAACCTGTACAAGGGGCAGATCACCGTTCTCCTGGGACACAACGGGGCAGGGAAAACCACCATCTGCTCCATTCTTACAGGTACCTGTGTGGGTCGGCTCTGCAGAGTAGGCCCTTAAATCGCTGCACAGATCTAGAGTTTGGACTTCTCCATTAAAATTTGTTGTCATTTTACTGCTAAGCATGGTTTGTTGCTAATTGTGCCATCTTTGCAGGATCTGGTTTGAATATAGTTCGGTAACTGTACCAAGAAAAGGGAATCTGTGCCTCTTCCAGTCAGTCTGCATTCACCATGACAAGACATGAACTTCCTTCTAGATAGAACGTTCTTGTTCACTGTGAGACACTGTTAATCTCTCAACATCTCAAATCTCTCAACAAAAACATCTTTGAATTTTGATTACCAGAGGTACTTTTAGAATAATACTTGTGAGTTATTCTAAAATACCCATCCAGAATAATTTTTATGCTTAAATAATTATTTTACATCCTGTCAACTAAAATGATACTCTATGAAATTTGAAACCTCACCCAAGAAACATTTATTGGAGGTTTAACATGTATAAAACTCTGGACAAAATCAAAGGGTGCACATCCAGCTTTGAAGGCGCTCCAAAAGACAAGCTGTTCTTACACACAGAATTCCACAGGGCTGGGGAGCTGTCGGCACCTCAGTCAGCCAGCTATAAGTCTCTTCACATGTGAGACAAGTGTCTTTTGCCTTCTGTTGAAGACACTTGAAGAACAGCAAGATTTAGTGACATTTGGTGGCAGGTGCTCTTGGCCACACCAAGAGTTGCTATCAGGATTTTGAAAGCCAAGTCTCAACTCACATATATACAGTGGTTGTGTGTTTTGTGTGTCAGACTGGGCCTGAGCCCCACAATTTCCTGTTTAGAAGTACAGTGGCATTTCTGAGAGCGGGTAGACCTCTTCAGACACAGGGTGTTCGGGACATGTTAGTCTGAGGAAGCTGTCTGTCCCAGTAGAAGTGTATGAAGTTCTCACTGCTGGAGAAGAAGTTCTCTGTACCCCTAGGCTAAGTGTCCAGGAAGGCCATGAGTCTTCTTTTTTACCTCGCACAGTCTTGCCTATTACAACCTCTTCTGTTTGTGGTCAGGATTCCTCAAAGTCCATATTTCGTTTGCCTGTGTGTTTATGTTTATGCGATTTCTCTGTCTCATTCCGTAACAAACCGCTCTGTTTATTTCTGGACCCACAATGCCAGAACAGTGTGTTTACACAGAATACACACTCAATTTCATTGACTAAAAGGCTGAATTGCAAATACTGTCAAAGTGCCAGCTATGAATGCAGTATTATAGAAGCTCTGTCACAGATTTCTAATAAAATGATACAGCTCAATAAAATTAACTCTGGCCTGGTGCAAGTGATGCCACTAGGGGACATACAATAGTATTCATGAGCTCTGGAGATACTCAATGGAGAAGCGAAGTCTGGCTGCTTCCCCAGGACATTGGCTGGCAAAGAGCTTCCACCATAATTTTTTTCAGATAAGATCTATTGTGTAGCCCAGGCTGGCCTCAAGTGCCAAGTGTTAGGATTATAGGTATATGCCAACTCCATACTGTATTTTTTTTGGCCAGGAAAACTCCAAACTTCATGTATTATAGACTTTGTTTCTCTACTTAGTGAAGTTTTGGTTTTTCTCTGAAGTTATTTAGTTCTTCTGTTATTACAAGTTTACATAAAGACTTTCTTCCCCTTTTTTGCCCCCCTGGCGGGGAGGGGAGATTTTGGAGACAGAGTTTCTCTTGCCTCTCATATGACCTACCAAATCTAGCTATATTGTCTTAGAATAAAAAAAATATGGCATACATTTAAATTTTTCCTAAGTTTTATGTTTATATTTATAGGAAATCACACACTACCTAGTTATCCACCACTTAGGGTCAAATAACTCAATAGGGCATGCTTCATGACAATGAAATATTTTTAGCAAAATGCTACAGATCTGGACTGGTAAAAGCACTGGCCATCAAGACTGAAGAACTCCAGAACCTATGTGGTAGAGGGAGAGAACAGACCCAAGTCTTTCTCTAGCCTCCACATGTAGTATGCACCCCCTACAACAGAGATATGTACATAAATGAAAGTGTCTTTACAAACAGTGCATTTCTAGCCATGCACGGTGACACATGCCCATAAAGCTGGCAGTTTGGCCTACACGATCGAACTTCATCTCAAAAAAAAAAAAAAAAAAAAAGATACAGTTTTTATGTAGATAAATAGCCTGAATACATTGTTATACTAAAAACAAACAGACAACAACCGCAAACAAATGCAAAACAGTTAAACCGAGCTTCTTAATGCATGCCCAGAGGGCCAGCCTGGTCTGTAAGAGACAGTTTAGGCCAGTTTGTGTTGTACAGAAAAACAAGGGGCAGCCTGGCATGCACAGAGACTTTGTCTCAAACAACTAGAAACCCACAAAACAAAAAAGAAAAAGTTATTTAAAAACAAAAACAGAATAGGCCAGTCAGTGGTGGCACATGCCTTTAATCTCAGCACTGGGGAAGCAGAAGGCAGGCAGATCTCTGTGAGTACGAGGCCAGCTTGGTCTACAGAATGAGTTCCAGGACACCCAGAGCTACACAGAGAAACCCTCTCTTGAAAGACCAAATAAAAACAAAATACTCCCATAATTTGTATTTTCTTATTTTAGTATAAAAACAATGCATGGGGTTAGGAGTCTAGCTCACTGGTAAAACTCTTGCCTAGCCTGTGTGAGACCCTTAGATTCAATCTATCGCTACCACAACAAATCTAAATAAACAAAATGTATATAAAATTATGTAAGGCAATATATCAAAATGGTAACTGTAACTATCTTTTCATGGTGGAACTTATTAAACAACATTTGTTTCTTTTTTTAAAGTAAATTTTGTTGCTGATTGTTTGTTTGTTTAAGACAGGGTTTTTCTGTGTAGCCTTGGCTGTCCTGTAACTTGCTCTGTTGACCAGCCTGGCCTAGAGCTCACAGAGATCTGCCTGCTCTCTGCTTCCCGAGTGCTGAGATTAAAGGAACGTGCCTCCACTGCCGCTGCCACCGCCACCTAGTTTAAGATTGTTTTTCTATGTATGTGAGTGTTTTGCCTTCATGCCTCTATGTATGTGCCTGGCGCCTGCGGAGGCCAGAAGAGAGTGCTAGATCTCCTGCAACTGGAGTTACCAACACTGTAAACCACCATGTGAGTTCTGGGGGCTGAACCCCAGTCCTTCAGTAACAAGTGATCTTAACCACTAGACCATCATCTCTCCAGCCTCTGTTTCTTTGGTTATACATTTTCCTCCTTTTTGTGAAACTTTAGTGATAAGAATGTATCGTTCTTGTCATTCTAACAAGAATGAAGATAAAGATAATATGCAGGTAGTCCGGTTGCCATGTTGCATACTGGCATGCATTTGTCAGTAACTTCACTCATTCATGGAACAGATATTTATGGCAATAAGAATAAAGTCAGACCTTGCCTTTGAGGATCACATTTCAAAACTATTAGATTCCCAAAGTGCTTTTTTCTTTACCATATTTACTAAGCATACAAATTTACGATCATCCCTGTAGTCATGTGATTTACTTTACAAATGCCCATATTATTAAATTCATTTAACCAGATTGGAATTGCTCAAAAGCAGGAGAGTTTTCCTGTTTCTGATCTTTCCTGCATGTCCTCAAGCACTGTCACACATAGAACATACGTTCCTGGGCTGCCACTGACCGATGGCGGCAAAGGAGAGTAAGACCGTCTATGGGAGAACAAAGAGATCAAGGGGGATGGTTTGGCCTATACGCTTGCAGCGTCTGCCTGAAAATGACTGTAGGGTGTCTTTTCTGTTTGGTTCTAGGTCTTATTTCCCCTTCAAAGGGACAGGCATATGTCCTTGGGTGTGAAGTTTCAAAAGACTTGGCTCAAGTTAGGAAGAGCCTGGGCTGGTGCCCACAACATGACATTTTATTTGATAACTTTACAGTAACCGACCATCTTTCTTTCTATGGTCAGGTGAGTTGGTAATAATGGGTCTGTGTCCATTCCTGAAAATGGTAGGATAGAGTATAACTCTCTAATTCATTTTGGGGGAGTGCTTTTAAGGAAACATGCATAAGTTTCTCAATATTCTGACACCAAATGTGGACACAATGAACACTCAGTTGAAGCAAATAGAGCACAGTCTTTGGGAAGGAGAACCTCCCCGCTCCTTAGGAGCACAAACCCTTCCAGCTCTCCAGTGCATTTACCAACCCAGAAACTCCAAGCTTAGCAGCTTAGAGATTTTTATCCAAGATTTATTATGTAGGCATGATGGATTATTATCCAGTGTCGCTGGAGGATGGAGAGTAGAAGAGCTTTGGATCGTGGCTTGGTCTTTCTGATGACCAGCCCCAACTCGTAAAGCTATCTAGTAGCATGCTGAGAGTCACTTCAGTAGAACAAGAGATACACCCTCTCATTAAGATAATTCTAGGGAATTAAGGTTCTCTTTGTAGCAAGGAAAATCAAGTATCAAATTAAAAATCAAATATTAGGACAAAAGGACTTCTAGAATCCTTATCAATTTTTTTGTATTCAAGTTTTAATTTTTTATTGAGATAAAATGCACATCACATAAATTTTGACATTGTTTGTTTTGAGACAGAATCTCACTATGTAGAACTTGTCTGGCCTGGAACTTGCTGTGTATACCAGGCTGGACTCAAACTCACAGAGATCCACTTGCCTCTGCCTCCTGAGTACTAAGATTAATGGTATTTACTGCTATGCCTAGAAATATTCCTATTAAGTCTTTGAGATTTTTATACAACGTATTTTCATCATATTCACTAAGCATTCCCTCCTCTCATATCCCCACTTCCCTCCTAGAGTCCAGTTGGTGCTTCCCTACTACTCTTGTGAGCAGGGTCCGCCCTGGAGCAGGACAGTTGCACATATAAACTCATAGCACTATGTCTAAGACCAATGCCAGCACAGGAGGGGGGGCACGAAATCCCACTACTTGGCCTTTCTGACATCCTGACTATGCTGCGTCATGGAGATGTTCTTCTCTGGTTGTGTCTGTTTGAAGTTGTGAGTACCCTTTGTGGTTGGATGTCTACTCTATTTGGAAAGTTTTCTGCTATAATTTCATTAAATAGTCTGTTTATTACATTTGATTTACCACTGTTCCTTCTTCAATACCATGAATTATTATGGCTGACTTTTTGACCAGATTGCTTGGAAATTTCATTTATGCTCCTTAGTTTCCACCCCCTTATCTGTCTGCTAGTATTTTTGTCTCTACTTGGTACTCCATCACTGAAATTCATCCTTCTGTGTGGTCTTGTATGTTAATGATGGTGTGTGTTGTGACTTTTATTTGATTGACTATCTCCTTCATTTCAGGTATCTCTATTTGGCTTTTCTTTAAGGTTTCAATCTCTTTACTGAGTTTTCCTCCATATTTTGGACTTTTCCTCCAGTTCAATGACTGTATCATTCACTTTGAAGACTGTTTTGTTAAGGTCTTGGATAGATTTTTCTTAGCTCATGCATCTATTTGAATCTTCTGTATGCTCATTAATTATTTTAAAAAGTAAGGCTTTGAATTCTTTCTCATACATTTCAGTTATGCCTATAGTTTGGGGTTCCCTTATAGGGGAGCCGGTTGATTGGGAATGGGTTATGGCTAGTGGTTATATTATAGTCTTTGTTTTGTTTTATACATCTATTGGAGTGGGACTGTCTCTAAGTTTTGTTTTCTTCCTGAGTTTCCCTTTCTTCCAAGTTTATCTGGATGTTTTATTTTCTGTGACTCTTCCTAGAGGGATATCCACACGGAACTTGCTGTTGATTGTTGGATGGAGTTGCTGAGGCAATTTCATCTTGGCTGTGTGCCAACAGGACCAAAGGTAGGGCTGTACACTAAGCCATAGGACAACCAGATGGAGTCAGAACCTTGGCCAGCCCTTGAGTTCTGTGAACCCACTGGATGCAGGATACCAAACATCAGGCTCACTGGAGCCTAGGTTCTGTTTGGAGGCTGAGGTTAAGCCACAGGCCTGAAGTAACTCTTAGAACCACAGCATTAAAGACTGCCCCAGTCCTGCGATGAGCACTGGGGCCTCAGAAGTCAAAACCACACATCACACTGACCATAGGGACCACTGGAACCAAAGCCCCAGTGTCTCAGGAAACCCTGAGCACCCTGGAGCTGAAGCTCACACCCTGCACAGGCCTCTAAGGTCCCCGTGCTAGAGCTGGGCATTGAGCCTCAAGGTGCTCTCCGGGCCCCTGGAGAAGAAATCCTGTTCCTTTAGTGCCCTTGGGTCCCACTGAAACCAGAGGCCCAGATACAAGTGCTCTCTGGTCCCAAAGAAACCAGACGCCTGATCCTTTAGAGTGGAGAGGCTATTTGTATTCTTTGGAGAAATCTTTCTCCATACCCTTTTTCATTTTTCAGCTGAGTTGTTTATCCTCTAGTAATTTAGTTATGAGACATTTTTATTAGATGCAGGATACTAAACCTCTATCAAATAGATATGGTCTGTAGAAACTTTCTCCAATATTATCAATTGTCTTTATTTCCCATTTACTGATAGTGAATTTTTTGATACACAAAGGTTTTTTTTTTAATTGTTTACTTACTTCTTTAGAGACAGGATCTTACTATATGTAGCCCAGGCTGACTGGAACTTATAATCCTACTGCTTTAGCCTCCTGGGTGCTAGGTTTACAGACGAGAGTCACCATGTTCTGCTAAAGCTTAAAGTCCTGTTCGTCTAATTCTAAAACTGGTTTCCTGGGCATAGGAAAACCATCTAGGCTTTACACCTGTGTTTCTGTCTAACATTTCATGGCTTTAAATTTAGGTGTTAAATTTACCTCTGGCCCAGTAAGACAGCTCAGTGGGAAAGCAAATGCCACCATGCCTGACAGCCTGAGTTCAGTGCCCCAGGCCTCACACGGGAGAGGGGAGAACTACTTCACAAAAGTTGTCCTCTTATTACCACACATGCACCCCTACACACACACACACACACACACACACACACACACACACACACACACACACACACTGAAATGACTCTTTATGAGCTCAAGTGGTGGCTCAATGATTAAGAGCACTTGTTGCCCCTGAGGAGGACCCAAGTTCGGTTCCCAGCACCCCCATAGTGGTTCACAACCATCCATAGCTCCAGTTCTGGAGATCTGACTCACTCTTCTGACCTCTGTGATTACCAAATACGCACATGGTCTACATATACACATGCAGGCAAAACACTCACACATAAAAAATATAAATCTAATTTTTAAAAGAGAAAGAAAAGACTCTTTTTTAGCTGAGTATGGTGGCACATGCCTGTCATCCCAGTACTGAGGAGGCAGAAGGATCACTGCAAGCCTGAGACCAAGCTAGTTAGTCTGCATAGATAAGACCAGGCTGCCAAAGCTATACAGAAAGAATTATCCTAAAAAAAAGTCTCAGTCTCCTTTGCCCTTGAATGGACGCCACTGTACTCAGAATCTCAGTTCTATTCCATTTTTCTGTCTGTCTGTCTGTCTGTCTGTCTGTCTTTATGCAACCACCTTACTGTCGTATCACTGTGGCTTTACAGTGAGTCTTCCAACTTGTCTCTTGTCTTCAAGACTATTTTGATTATTTTGACTTCATTGCATTTACATATGTGTTTATGAACATGAGTTTTATCCATTTCTAAAAAAAATTAATATGTTAAGGGCTATTAGAAGTTTGATAGAAATTGAATTTGTATTGTTCTTGGAATAGTAATAACATCTTAACATTATTAATAATATTAAAGTTTCCACTCCTTGAATATAAAATGTTTCTATTTATTTGGTTTTCTTTTAATTTCTTTCAATAATGTTTTATAGTTTTCCATGTACAATTTTGCTTTTACATGGTTAAATTTATTTTAGTGATGCTAATGTAAACAGAACGCTTTTAGGTTGTTTATTGCTAGTGTAAAAAGACGCAAACCTGTGGGTGAGGGATGTAGCTTACTTAATAGAGAGCTTGCCTAGCATGCATGACACCCTGCGTTCAATCCCCAGCACCTCAGGAAATCAAGTGTGTTGGTACAAACCTGTAATCTCATCACTCTGAGAGGTAGAGGCAGGAGGATCAGTAATGCAGGGTCATTTGTGACACAGACTACGAAAGGTCAGCCTGAACTAATGCCTCAAAAAAAACCAAAGCATGGGCTGGGAGATAGCTCAGTTGGAAAAGTACCAGTGGCACAAGCTACCCACATAAAAGCTGAGCAGTCTGTCACCCCAGGCCTGGGGTGAGGTGGGTGAGGGAGGTTTTGTAAGTGAAATGGGATAGGTAGATCCCTGGTTCTCACTGGTTTGCTAATCTAGCCAATGGGCTCTAGATTTAGTGAGAGACTGTCTCACAAGATAAGATGGGAAACAAAGCAGAAAAAGAACAAAACACAAGGAAGATAAGGTAGAGGGCAATAGTGGAAGACACCGACCTCCAGCCTACATGTACACATGCACAGGTATACATGCATACATACACGTACATGCACACACACTAACCTCTAGCCTACATGCATACGTGTGTACATGCAATCATTTGCATATATGTACATATGTTAAACACATGTACAAGTACATATGCACGAACACACAGATACAAGCTTACAGATACACACACAGATGGACACAGACAGACAGACAGACAGACAGACACACACACACACACACACACACACACACACACACACTCCAAAAAATGCTACAAATACAAACTTGCACAAAGCTGGCTCTTCAGACCCGACTACCTCTTTTGTGTGACCTCTAATATGACCTGAGGACCTAGTGGTAACAAAGATGCTCCTGTCACTTAGAAAGTTCCAAGGTTCAGAAAGTCCTTGCCAGGAACCAGGGACAAAGGCTGTATAAATTCTTTACTATAAACAGTGATTTTTTTTTTTTTTTTAAAGTCAGGCAGTGGTGACACAGGCCTTTAATCCGAGCACTCAAGAGGCAGAGGCTGGTGGAGCTCTGAGTTTGAGGCCAGCCTGGTCCACAAAGTGAGTTAGTTCCAGGACATCCAGAGATACACAGAGAAACCCTGTCTCAAAAAAACAAAACAGTAATTTTTAAAAACAATTGTTGAAAAATCCTACTTAGTCGGGGCTGGAGAAATGGCTTAGAGGTTAAGAGCACAGACTGCGGGGTTGGGGATTTAGCTCAGTGGTAGAGCGCTTGCCTAGCAAGCACAAGGCCCTGGGTTCG